TGTCATAACTGCTAATGGTGGTGGTGTTCAGACTCCTATAACACTACAGAACCCATATAGTGATTGGAAAGTGAGTTGAGCTCTATTAATTTGAGGAAGGGCATAGCCCTCTTGCCTGTACAAATACACTGAAGTCTCACAGATGGCCAAGTGGAAAAGCTAGCCTGCAGAATCTCCTCAGGGGTGCAGGAGCCAAACCTAGCTGACTTCACCATGCTGGCAGTTGCAATAAGCCATCTTTACTTGCAAAGTGAACAAACTTGACCTAGCAGTCAGATGCACACAGTGCTCAGTGATGCCATTTCTAGTTACTTCTCAAAGTTGAGGATTATTTGAGCTTTCTCAAATCAGGCTGCAGTGATGGGTGCTACACAAAGCTTAGTAGTATAATGGCTATTTAAATGACTTTACAATTTGCTACATGTAAGGCTCTGGCTTGTCTAGAATCCAGGTAAGCCACACTTAGGATAGGTAACTACTGTTTTGGTCAAAAGAGTAGATCATATTTTTTTCAATTTGAAAAGCAGCTTTTAATACTTACTGAAGATGGAAGTAGCAAGTAAAATTGTCAAAGACGACCACCTGGAAGACGCACTTAAAGTGCCCCCCAGCCATGCCTGAAACCCAAACTGTGCATACAATCATCAATGTTAGAGGTACTTTAAAAAGGAATGTGCGTAGTAGGGGAGAAAGGAGGGAAGGGTAGCAGTCTGTCAGTATTACAAGCCAAGAGTAGTCTTTCACTTTACTAAGGCTTCAGAATCTGGTTTCACTCACAGCTTAAAGTACCTTGTAGAATGTCCAACTGATTCTGAATCTTTCCTACCCAGAAGAGAGAAACTGTTTTTGTAACAGGTTCTTCTCCTGAAAACACTAATATTAAATAGAACTAAAACACCTGTTGGCCACTTTGAAAGTAAAACTGCCTTATATAACTGAAATTTAACCTAGCTGCAGTATATTCTACTAATCTCTGCTCTTAATATTTTAAAATCTACTTTAAGTGGTGTTCATCTATGGATGTTAACTCAAACTGTGCCTATGTTGACAAACTTGTAATTCACTTTTAAAATGAAATCAACTTTGTCCCTAGTGCCAGTGGCACAAGGACTACTTGTAATAGGGGGACAACTACCTTCCAGATATGACTTTCCTTACCAGCCAGTGTACATTTTCTCATATGTTCACCCAAATTAAACTAAGCATGAGCACTGCACAGATGTTTAAGGGTTTTTTTTTTTGCTTTATTAGTTTAACTGAATTGTAGAAGAGCTGGGAAACTTCACAAGTCTTTGCCTCTACTTAAATTTATTCTAGAAAACATTTTTCTCAATTATTCACTAGAAACCCACAGCACAGGTAGACTAAGGATTTGTCACTAAGTTTTTAATTTTGAGCTGTATGGATTAGACATACGGCTCTGAATATATTTGTTTCACTGACTGCATAAGTAACTTAACCAGGTCTCCACTATGAGCATTTGTAAAATTAATCTAATTTTATTTTCATGAATAGTTGGCAACACTACTGCTAGAATCTTCCTGAATATGAAGACCAAAGGAATTATGTATGACTAAATACAGGTACAGAGTTGAAACAGCTGCAGTACTCATACTGTTAAATGTAAGTGGTAGTGCATGATTTTGTATTAGGCTAACTGAAAACATGCTTTGAAATAGCTTAGTGTCCACTTCAGTAACTTGACTGTAGTAAAGTTTTTGAAAATCCTGCTTCTGGTACACTCAGGGCTTGATTTACATCAAGTATTGCAAATACAGCTAAAGTTTTTTTTTTTTTTTTTTTTAAAAAAGCAATACAAGACAATTACTGACGCTGAATTAAATTGTATTTTCACTCTTCCAACTGCTAGACAATTAACCTAGACTCTACCAACCCAGCTTTCAGCACTTCCCCTGCAGTACTATTACTATTTTTTCAAATTAAAATGTAAATGATTTGACAAGTCTTGTAACCTGTATACTATTTTTATGGTTTGACATTATTCCTATATGTACTATGCAAGAGATTAACTGACTCCAAGTATCACTGAACTATCTTTTGTTACATCAGAGCATAACAGTATTTAAAAAAAAAAAAAAAGCTTCAGTTTACTTCCCATGGTGCTCTTTCCTGTGAGAGGGTGCAAAGGGAAGACTTGCCTGAACTATGACTAGGACCAGATGAGAGGAAGGAATGCCTTGCACTGGTAAACACTCATCCCCCACAAAGAAGCAGCACTATCACCAAGATAGGCTATAACAGGGGTGGGCAACCTTTTTGGCCCAACGGCCACATCAGGGAATAGAAATTGTATGGTGGACCATGAATGCTCACAAAATTGGGGTTGGTGTGTGGGAGGGGGTGCAGGCTCTGGGATAGGGCTTGGAATGAAGAGTTTGGGGTGTAGGAGGATGTTCTGGGCTGGGACTGAGGGGTTCAGAGGACAGGAGGGGGATCAGGGTGGGGCTGGGGATGAGAGGTTTGGGGTGCAGGAGTGTGCTCTGGGCTGGGATTGAGGGGTTTGGAGAGGAGGGAGGGATTAGGGCTGGGGTTGGGGAGACACTCAGGGGAGGCAGGCTCTGAGCAGCGCTTACCTCAAGCGGCTCCTGGAAGCATGTCCCTTCTCCAGCTCCTATTTAGAGGCACGGCCAGACAGCTCTGCACATTGCCTCATCCACAGGCACTGCCCCTGCAGCTCCCATTGGAGTGTGTAGGAGCTGGAGTGGGGGCCGAGCCATGTGGTACCACCCCCTTTATGGAGCAGGGCCGAGTCAGGTGGTACAGCTCACGGGCCAGCTTAAAATGGCTTGTGGGCTGGATTTGGCCAGCAGGCTCTAGTTTGCCCACCCCTGGGCTATAGCTACCCTCACTCTAGCCAAAATGTGAGTGTCCATGAGCATTTTAAAAAGGCTCCAATGACAAGGTGGCTAAAGCATTCCCCTTTGGTAAACACAAAAGCTGACTGGCAGCTATTTTAAGGCCATAGCCTCAAAGAATCTGACTTCCAGAATGGAAGCAAATATTTAAGGGTATCTACTTCCTTCCCTAACCCACTGCATCTGGCCCCAAATCTTGTTCCTTTTGGATTATGATGGCTGAAGTATTACCATTCCTCCAACCATCATGATCAAAGTATGGAGCAGGCCAATGGGAGCTTCAGGGGTGGTACCCACAGGCAAAGGCAGTGCATGGCAGAGCCACCTGCCCCACCCCACCCCCAGGAACCACTGCCAGACATGCTGGCTACTTTTGGGAGCGGTGCAGGGCCAGGGAAGGCAGGGAGCCTGCCTTAGCCCTGCTGCACACCGCTACCACCCCAGAGCCACTCAAGGTAAAAAGCACTGGGCTGGAACCTGAACCCCCCACCCCAACTCCCTGCCTTGAGCCCCCTGCCATGCCCCTCCTTCACCCCAACCCCCTGCCCTGAGCCCCCTCCTGCACTCCACACCCCCTGCCACACCCTACACACCAACCCCTTGCCTTGAGCCCCTCCCACATCCTGCACTCCCTCCCCCACCCCAACCCCACATTCATGGCCCTGTATACAATTTCCCCACCCAGCTGTGGCCCTCAGGCCAAGAAGTTTGTGCACCCCTGGCCCAAACTGTATCCCCACACAGTTTTGGTCTTCTTCCTACTAGTTTCTACGGCCTGACGCTCAAGGGTTTGTTTTGTTTTTTTTCAAATCCATCTACCAATTAAAACTTATGCTGGCCTTCTACTCTTTTCTGGCTTTCTGCCCTTTCAACACAGGGATGTGACCACTGAAGACAGCCGTTAAGCTAGATTATTTTATAAGATGACCATGAAAGAGGCCAATGGGTAGTGATTGCACTGATTGTTCTTGGTCATTGCACAATACATGAACTTTCTTCTTACTTGGTTCAGGCAATATGAGTAGTAGCAACAATGGGTATTGAGGTGACAAGGTGCAACTCAGGCCCCACGGACATATGAAAGGGATCAAGGGGTAGTTGGTATTACTGTAGGCATTTGGGTTCTCTGGACATTCCCTTGTCTAAGTTGAGTAGTAATAAGACACCACCCTGCTGGCAACCTATTAGGCCTACATACTGTGATGTGTATATTAAACCAGTGGCTCTCAACCTTTCCAGACTACTGTGCCCCTTTCAGGAGTCTGATTTGTCTTGTGTACCCCCACATTTCACCTCTCTTAAAAACTACTTGCTTACAAAATCAGACATAAAAATACAAAAATGTCTGTCACTTTATTACTGAAAAATTGCTGACTTTCTCCTTTACCATATAATATAAAAAAATCAATTGGAATATAAATATTGTATTTCCAGTTCAGTGTATAGTATATAGAGCAGTATAAACAAGTCACTGTATGAAATTTTAGTTGGTACTGACTTCACTAGTGCTTTCTATGTAGCCTGTTGTAAAACTAGGCAAATATCTAAATGAGCTGATTACCCCTGGGGGTACACAGAGGTCTTCCAGGGGGTACATGTATGTACCTCTGTTTGAGAATCACTGTATCAGACATCTACAAGTAGACCCTTTCCTAAAAGCGTCAAAGATGGTAGCTAGTACCGGACATACCCTGCTTGCAAACCTATAGAAGGAGGCTACCTAGAGACAGCAGTTAAAACTGAAAGGGATGGGGGTTGGCAGGGGAAGAAGGCGGCGGGGGGAGGGGGGGGGAAGAGAGAAATGAGGTATTAGGTTTGCAAGACCTAATCTGCTCCAGTGACTTTAATGTTTTCACATTATTGGTGAAACTATTGAAGGCAGAGTTTATGAATTTGTACCATTTTAACACTATTAAAACAGTGTATTAGCCATGCATTGCTTAAACTAAATACTTCAGGAAACTAAACCTCCCCCTTCTACCTTTCCTTGTGTATTAGATTACTGTTTCTTGAAGTACTTGAACACTCTCTTACAAAGAGGTGAAACAGCTATAACATGCAAGCAGCTTGCTGTTTCCATTGAATACTCTCTCTAAGGGCTCACCTACACATGAAAGTGAATCCAGAATAACATACGGTGTGAATTTAGAGCAGATTAACTATTCCTAATAGGCTGTCTAAAGTGAATTAAAATAATTTGGAATGAGATTTATTCCAGAATAAGACCATCCACAGACTAAACTATTCAAGAGTCACTCCCTGTGTAGACAAGCCCTAAAATGGATAATGAAAAGAGAAGCACTACTTTACTAATGCACCAGTGCCGTGTGGCCTTGAGTCAGTTGTGTTTGCTAACAGTGAAAAAGGGAAATTCAGACTTCTTGTACCATGGCTGTTCCAGAACTAGATTTTTTAAAATTTGAGATTAACTCTCTTAACTGAAAGATCACTACCCTTTACACTGAGTACCGCTTCCATCAGGGCAACATAATTAAATCTCTTGAGCAGCACAATAGGTGGAAAGAACATTAACGTCTCCATCCTCCCTTAAAAAAAAAAAAATCCTGTAAAAACACACACAAGGTCTACAAAATCCATTTACTTTAAAAAGATTTTTTTTTAAATCCTAAATTGACTGACTTTCTCTGATGTCATGCTATTGATTTTGTACCCATTCAAGCCCTACAGTTCTTTTTAAAAAGGTTGACCTAAACCTGCTGCTGGAAGATTTCAGTACGTGTCAACCTGTTCCATCATCATCTTGCGGCTGTACTCATAGGCAAGGAACAGTGCACCATTGGCTGGGAATGCACGAATCAAAGTAGGCTTTAGTCCAGAATACAAGGCAAATACTCCTGCAAAATGAAACATGAACTGATTAGAAATGTGCACGTTAAACTTTTAAAAGACTAACCAGCAATAGTTCTGGTGTTCTACTCTCTAGAAGTCATGCAGAGGAACTTAAAATAATGATACTAATTAGAAGAATCAGGAAGCAGAGAGTAGAACTCATTGAGACAGGACACTGTTGAGGCCAACAACTCAAGATTCAAGAGGAGACTGGACATCTATATGGATAAATATCCAGAGTCGTCGTAATAAAATTTTGGAAGGGATATTAAACCTTGGGCTTCAGGCCATCTAACTATTGGAGATTCAGAAAAGACCTAATGTGGGGGACAGCTGGCCCCACATCTTCCTGCTGCAGGATTCTAATACCTTTCTCTGAAGCATCTGGTGCTAGTCACTGTCAGATACACTATCCTGGACCTGAGGGACCTTGGATCTGATCCAGTATGGCAATTTCTACTTTCCTAGTCAACTGAGCATCTTTTATAAATGTATAAGTTACTGTTTCTTATAAATTCTTCAAACAGAGATAAATCAAATTTGTGGCGAATCTATTTCTAGTACCTGCTTGGAGTTTCAATGTTTAAATTACAAGTTAGCCATTGCAGGGCAGTAGGGTGCATTTACTCATCTGTCTTTAACAGGTAAGATACTACAGTAAGTACTAAGTGATTGCCCTCTGAAGTACAATTGAGTGTAGTAGATGCATTAAGCCTGAATCTGTGAAACTAGTTTCTGTATTATTGTTAGCATCAAGATTTTTTAGAAGCATCATTTTGCGGGTCTCTAAAGGTGGCGATGGGAGAATTTCACAAGAATAGTAATTTGTGGTCTACAGAAAAGGAAGTAGCGTAATTAATTTCCCGTAACTTCTTAGACTAGGTTTCAGAATAGATTTTCCATACTGGAGTAAAAAGTTTTCACATATGAGCCTGCAGGTTCAGTTTGTATTGGACATGCTTACCTTCATTTCGCAAAATATTTGCAAATGTTCCCATGAAGCCTGCCTGTTTTCCAGACATGGAAAGAACCTGAATTCTAGATTTGACACAGTCCACAGGATAAACAGCAATCCACAAGCAGATGCCTCCAAAACCACCACTCACCATCAAAGGAATAGGCCCTAAAAACATGAAATAAGCTTTTATACACTGTGCAAACTACCCCCCAAATTTTATGGTGTTCTATTTTAGAGTAATGTGAAAACAAGGAATGCACAGAGTTTGAGGAGGTGGCAGTTTTTCTGTGTGATAAGCTTGCACTGTATCATAGGTATAAGATTAAATAAAGTGGTTGTGGATTTCTAAGGAGTCCAGCCTCCTACTTCCACGAGCACATTTAGAATAAGAGTTTAAAGATTTTACTACGTAGACAAACCTTCAACACAAAGTCTGGTTTAGGAAAGCAGGTTTCTTTAAAATATTTTGTAACATAGGGAAAGAGATACCTTTATGCTCTCTCACTGCCTTCTAAATTTAAATATTCTTATTTCAGAAGTGCAACTCGCCTGCCAGGCCTTGAAGTTCACCCTGGAATGTATGGTTCAGGCCATGACAAGAAAAAAAAAAAAAAAAGGTGTCAGAATTTAATTAATACTTAAGACAAAATATCTCACTCCTGCTGCCATTGCTGGATTGGCTCTGCAGCGCTATCACAAGTAAAAAGGTTGTAAAAATTTCTTGAGTAAAGCCAGCAGTTATGACTCTGAATATACACAGGGGAGTGTCTACTGAGTGAGACAGCATTGTTACAAACCCAGTCAACTTTCAGAATGCAACCACATTTTGCTTTTATGATCAGATTTTTATGAAAATTTGATAACAATAGTAGCTAGAAAAAGCAAGCACTTTTAACTACTAAAAAGCAAACTACTGATGCCAAGTCCCTTCAAAGGCTGGTATCTTGCATTTTAATAGCCAGAGAGACCCAATGGTTTCCTATCTTCAATATCCCTCCTTGAAAGTGCATATGAAGTTAGAACATGAGACCAGCCATACTGGGTCAGACCAAAGGTCCAACTAGCTCAGTATCCTGTCCTCCGACAGTGGCCAATGCCAGGTGCCCCAGAGGGAATGAACAGAAGGGTAATCCTCAAGTGATCCATCCTCTGTCATCCATTCCTAGCTTCTGGCAAACAGAGGCTGACACTTCAGAGCATGGAAAGAGCATTTGTCCAAAATAAGGAATGCAAGAGTTCCAAGAGTTTGTGTTCATACTGGAATGATACAGAATATTACATTTCACATTCTGCAATACTAACATCTGAATCCTAAACAACCAGATAGCCCTTACATACTATAAATAGAACTGGCAGAACTGCCTATTATTGAGGTTGCCCAACATTTCCCATTATAAGACTCTGTTTTCAGTTGCTTATAATTTGCCAAACTGTTTGGGCTAAAGTTTTAAATACCCAGTGTCTACCTCAAGCTTATTTTTTTCTAGAAACCAAATGTAATGTTGCACAGACAATTCTGCCATTTCCTAACTTTTGAGTGCTTGACTTTGCAACATTAATGTTCTTTTAATGCAGTGGTGGGTGTGTGAGAGAGAGAGAAACATCTGTGACACGCACTGAACACCGTGCAAAGGGAAAGTTTCAAATCACTTAAAAGATGCACAACTAGTGAACAACTTTGTTGCAATAAACAGTTCGGTGGTGCATTGTGGAGTGTTGAACATTCAACAGTTTTTGCACAATTATCCTCTCCTGATCAGGTAACTCATACATCAGCTAAATAAGTGTACAAAAGCAAGATGATGCATGACAAATCTGAAAATGGTTGGCGTGAGCAGTTCTTTACCACCCATAAACAGGAATAGTGTTGGTTTTGCTCCCACATCGCTATTCTACAGGACCACAATTTTTTGCCTGCAGATATACAGCAAGTGCATAAGGTATAATTAGCATTGCAGGAGAGATTTTGAGAGTAGAAGTATGCTACTTTCTGTAGTGAGAGACTACCTTTTCCACATACCCACAAGCTGGCACATACCTAGTTGATCTTTTGGTCTCTCCGCTGCAAAAAATGTCCGACTCAGTTCATAGCCTCCAAAGAAGAAGAAATAACCTGGGACTTCCCGAAGTAAAGTGCTTGACAGACCATGGTAGAACCCGAGTGGGCCATCCTTTTGAATAACACTTTTCACTACTGACCAAACTGTACTGATAGAGGGGTTGAAACAATTAACGATACTTAGCACTTTACACATATTGATCTGCAACATCCTATGAGTAAGTACCTTAAACATTACCTCCATTTTACAGATGGGGAAATAGAGGCCAAATTTTGAATCAATTGCAAGGCAAGAATTAGAACTGAGGAATTCCTAGCTCCAATCATTTGTTTTTTCCACAGACCTCAGATAGGAGCAGGGATAGCAATTAAGGGTATGTCTTCGCTACAGGGTTAACCCAGGTGATTGGCACCCAAGTGTGAGCACCTGGGTTAGTCTAGCTCAGGTGTGAGCAGCCACACTACAAAGCCCTACCCTGGTTCTAGCATCCTCATGGTTCTTTATGCTGCAGTAAGCTGAGCTGCTCTGATTCTTTCCCAGTGAATTGTGGGAGAACTTGTCTGTCCTTCTGAGCACCACACAGGGAATTGTGGGAATGGAGTGGAGGACTACTGCCACTCAAGTGACTTAGCACATATCCTCATTGCAAAGCGAGCAGGTTACTAGCCTGAGTGAAAGCCTCACTTGGGTTTTAGCCTACAGCCCCACATGAACCAGCTAGAAAGCACCACTAAACTCAGGTCAGGGGGCTGTTTGAGTGGACAGAGGGAGGGAAGGAGGTAGGGGAGTTAAGGGAAACACTTGAGTAACCGCCTACGTTAACTCTGCAGTGAAGACATACCCTAAGTTAGTATTCCCCAGGAATGTATTTTGACAGTCAGTAGCACACCCTTTGTGCAATTAATAGCACAGTACAAGCTAGACCGGGTTAAGGTTTTGCGTGCCGGTAATACATTTTAATGTTTTTAGAAGGTCTCTCTCTATAAGTCTATATATTATATAACTAAACTATTGTTGTATTGTAAAATAAACAAAGTTTTCAAAATGTTTAAGAAGCTTCATTTAAAATTAAATTAAAATGTTGATCTTACGCCGCCGGCCCGCTCAGCCCACTGCTGGTCTGGGGTTCTGTTCACCTAGGCCAGCAGCGGGCTGAGCGGGGCCTGCGGCCGGGACCCCGGCTGGCAAGGGTCCAGCAGCCAGAACCCCAGACCGGCAGCGGGCTGTGCGGAGCCGGTGGCTGGGACCCCAGACCGGCAGTGGGCTGAGTGGCTCTGCCCACAGACAGTGGGTACCTACCTTCTCCCTGGTTCTGGCCCATTCTCTTCCTCTCTCTGCAATGAGCTGAGGGTGGGAGTGCACAGAGCACAGGGCTGGGGGTGAAGAGTCTGGCCAGGAGCTAGAATGAGGGAGGGTGCTCAGGGTTGGGGCAGGAGGTCTGGGTGTGGGGCACTTACCTGGGCAGCTCCCATTTGGTGCGAGGGGTGCAGGTGGGAATGTGGGGGGGGGGG